TACGCCGTGTGGAGACTGTAAAAAGTCGCCCCGTACATTCAATCAGGGATGTTATATTTTTGATACTTAAAGATCGTTCAGCACGACAATATTGTTGTGTTTGTAGTACTTTTATGTTTTTGCTTTTGGAATTTTTCTAGTTGGGTGGTTCCAATATTCCTACTTGAATACTGTTAAAATCACCCTTGGGATATGTTGCCTGCTTTTTAAATTTGTCTTTAGACGTCTTATATGTGATATGCAGACTTCATAACCTTTTAAAATTCCATTTTATTTAGTTCCGCCCATTGTTTTCTTGTTTAGGGCACACGCATTCTTTTACTTTGGGACCATACGCCGCTTTTCATGGAATGGCACGAAAGTGTCACATTGAAGGTTCCATGATAACCGCCGTATGAACACATCTGTGGATGTTTCTAAATTCAAAATTTCACCATTACCATGTTTAAATGTTGAATTCTGCTTAAGCCGGTGTTAGGGGGCGTGGGCGGTAACTTGAACTTTCCATTACCGTCCATGAACAGGCTCAATCAAACCGAGCCTGCAACATTTTCAATTTTGTCTTGTAAGGCTTTCTTTAGGGATTCTTTATTTATCTCTATTTTGACATTCTGAAGCTAATATTTAAAAGAGTAATTTCTCTATAAACTATGAAAGATCGATAAATTTATTTATTTATTGAAATTATATAAAGATTATCTGAATTAACTGAGACATTGTTTATTAAACTTTTAAGCAATCTTGGTAATTTCTTTTTATTATCATAACATTTTAACCCCCCTTTCAATTGGTAAAAATCTTCTGTTTAAATAATTCATTCTGATAAACATATTTTCGGCTAAATTAAGAAGAGAGAATTCGTCGCAGAAGCGGTGGATAAAATAGTTGAATAAATTATACTTTATGTTTCAATGTTTTACTGGAAACATCTAGTGAGACGGGAGTCCATATAAATACTTTTCCAACTTATTATATGCAAACGGTACAATTAATTGCCATTTATGCAAACACTTCTGTACAGTTTGACGAGGTGACGCCATAACAACCATATTTTGGAACTTTTGAAAATTGTTAAGAATTGACACAAAATGATAACAACGTAGACGGAGATGGATTCTATTACAACGCAGTGCGGTTGGCCCGATACCATTAATGTCTAATGTGATGGTTTAACTTGACATATGACTCATTTTTTAATGGATTGCAATTTTTTTTATTACTTTAACATCAGAAAAACGTGCTTATTTTGCGTTTAAAACAGTAGAATTATACACATATATACAAATAGATGTTTCGATTTTAAGTTCGTTCTTGTGACCATCCTAGCCGCTAAACGAGGGTTCTGTTGCAAAAAAAAAAAAACGTTGATAAACGATCCTATAACCTATCAGGAATAGTTATTACAAATTAATAATAGAGCAACGTCCTTTTGTTTAGTAAAAAATGAGACTTTTTCATGAATAAACTTCAGTCGTGTTTATAAAACTTTTTATTTCATGCTTTCCAGTGTTTTACTATAATATATAAGATGACTATATTCTAATAAACCACTGGTGAAATTTATAAAAAAAGAAATATAACACATTAAGAAAAAAATTACAGAACTATATTTTAAAATTGATGATGTGACGTCATAATTTGATGACGTCATAAAGGGAAATGCGCGACGTTACGCGGGAAAATCAGTATAAAGTACTTAAAATCACTTTTAAAGCATGAAATTAAAAAGAAAATATGTTTGTATTGCATGTAAGATGAAAATATATTTCATTCATGAACACCAGCTATGCCATTGCATCTGGTATTCACACAGTAAAATATATTTCAATCTTACATGCAAAACAAACAAATATCCTCAATATACTACTGCACTTTGGTAACGTCGCAATTTATTGCATAATTGTGTTGTTTATATAGATTTATATACAGGGCTGCTGTTTTTATGTAGAAATCTCTTCTTTCTCTAAAAAAATATGTTTGGTATATTATTAATTTGTTATAAAGTTTTTGACCAGTTATATTTGTGTATTGAAAAGGTCAACAGTTGTTTTTTCCTTTTATCTGTAATAACCTCGTCATATTGTTCTTTTATTCTTTTGTCATCTGTTATTATTAATATTTAGCACAGTCATGTATTTATTTTACAGTAACTGTCACGTTTTTGGCGGGGATTCTTATATTATTATTATTATTATTATAGTACTGATCATTTGGTTTTACCCACCTATGTTAAAAATTATAGTACTTTTGCAATGTCTGTTGTCATGTAATTGTGACCATTAAATAAATAAAAGGATTTGTGTTGTTGTTGTTGCTGTTGCTGTTGTTGATGTTGTTGTCGTTACAAATATGACATAAATTACATTTTTGGCATTACAGCTAGTGTTTTATTATATTTTTGTTTCTTTCCACATTTGAATTTTTAACAGTCTCCTCCATAAGGTAGTTACATAAAGCACAATTTTGTCTGTTACAGCGACTAACTTAGTTGTCGGTTTTTTTCCTTCAGATTTTTGCATTAGCGATATTTTTTTTAAATAAGTGCTGGACGTTTGCGATTGATTATTGCAATTGTCTAATACATTTATTAATTTGAATGACCCTCTTTACAAAATATACTACGGCCGATGTCACCAATTTGAAAGAATTCCGAATTTCTTAAAGGTACTCCGATAACCATTTGGTTTTTTTTTCGTTGTATTTTACTCTTACTTCGTTGAAAACGTCGTTTCTATCCATCAATTTTGCTTTTCTATGCCAGCCTGAAATGTGTTTTCGGCTTTTTTTGTGTTTCACACGGTAATTTTCTTAGTTAAATTGCTCGTTTTTGAAAGGTATGATCCTTGAAATTATGATACTGAAGTTGGTATGTTTTGGACGGCATGATGCGAAAAGGAGGTCTTGAAATATTGTGACTTATCTGTAGGAATGCAGCTTTAAAGCAGCATACCTCCATATTCTTGCTTATTTTCATGAAAATAATAAAAGATTTTGAAAAGAAAAATATTGTGTATTTATCAAAGAAAATAGTTTAAACTTTGCAAATAGCACTAACAATTCACGGAAATAACCAAAAAGTGGTCAAAAAGCAAATGCCCTTACTGCGTTAGTAACGCAAAAGAAACATGGTGAAAAATAATGCAAAATCAGTCCCTACTCCCTAACATAAAAGTACATGTAAATTATAACTTGAATTTTAAATACTTTTTCTTTTCTTAAAATCTTATTTTATTGTTCTCAATTTAATTTTCTTGAAATATTGCAGCTTTTAAGCGTTGACCGTTTAACATTATCCATGTGATAATGCACATCTATTTATGTTATTTAAAAACAATCACAAGCATCAGACCCAAATCTAAATTTCTTGCTTTGTTACAAATATTTTTATATACATTATCTTAAAATTGAAGGACAATATACTCTTATCTACGTATTGGACTGTACGAGAGGTGCCCAACTTATTTTTGAACAAAAACAAAATTTCAAGCAATTCTTTATAATACTCATTCATTGTAATAAATGTTCAATATGAGACCCATGACAGTTGTAGATCATTTTACAACGCTTTGTTTCTTGATCAAGTTTGCGCCACTCGTCCTTAAGTGCCCTTTTGAGACCGACAAGCGTGTTTATTTGCCGCTTCTGCAGCCGACGTTTTAGAACACCCAAGCAAAAGCATCGTGTTTAGCAAAATTCAAATTCTCAACAAGGTTATCCCCTTTTCTAATATAACATACCTTTCTTCGCCCATAACTTCCGCCTAAGTAAAACATAGCTTCATCCGAAGTGACAAAGTTTTTCCATTGGTTGCATTTTAATTTGAGATAAAGCTTCCAAGATCTGGTCCTGCGCTTCTTAATTTGAGCCATGTTAAGTTGATGAAATTTGCACATCTTTCGTAATTTTGCGTTCAGAATTTTGTTGATAATGTTATAGATAGTTACCTTTGACACACCAAATCTTGAGGCCATTTCTCTTTGAGTAGACGGATTCACTTTGGTGATGAAACGGCCAACCTTCCTATTGACGTCAGGTGTAGCCGCCGTGGGCCGTTTTGTCAATGTCCCCCTGTAACATTCGGAGAAGTGACACTGCGTTGTGACCCTATTTGGTAGCGAATATTCCTAATGGAGCCCAAAGAAATGCTATAACCCATAGATTTAAGCTCCTTTTGAATACTTCTATAGCTGCGGTTAGTCTTCAAAAGCCCTAAAACTATACCCTCAACTTTGTCTCTAATTTTAGTACGTACTATTTTCTCAATCGAGTTAAAGTACATGTAAATGTATATATAGGTTTAACAAAACAAATAATACACAACAGCCACGATAATATCGTGCATGTGTTTTACTAAGCACGGATTCTTTTGCCCACAAATAAGTTGGGCGCCTCTCGTACAACTGTCTGATAGTTTACCGAAATTTAATTTCGTAAAATCAGGTTTAAAATTGAAATTATACGGAAACACGTTGTCTCATCTAAAACGAGACTGTTTTGCTTCCAAAACATAGAAGCCGTCTTTTATACAGTAAAGTGAGGTCACAGGTAAGCAGTTTTTTATTTTTGTCATATTTGGTAACGAATCTAATGCCTGTAATGCCTTATCAACGATGTTAATGTTCAAATTTAAGGCCTTATATTTTACCATTTCTAATCACAAATTGAGATAGCGATTAATCGGGTAATTATTAATTAAAGTTTAAGACGCGTGGTGATATATTGCTTATTAATTACCTTTCCCAAAGACATTGACTTTAATCGTACTTGTCCTGTCACATATTAAACAAAATTAATTAGGGAAGTAATTGAATTTCCATGTGGTTACGCTTTACTTCACAACTTCGCAGATCTAAGCAGACATTCCTAAAGGTAGGTTTTAATTCGACCCTTCTCACAACATGCAGTACATAGTCAAATGTTTAAGATATTTAGGTCTGCGGCCGCACGTATTATTAATGTGTACAAATGTAATGATATAATGAATACTAAATCATACTAAATCATGATTTAAAAAGCAAAGATGATACATTTTACAAAGTAATAACGTCCCATGGTCGATAAATACATTCAAACCCGTGTTCCGTAAGGTAATTCTATTTTCAAAACGTGAAATCCGATATTTTTATTTTGGATTTTATTTGTTATAATTCAAACATAGCAAAACAATTAGGAAAGGAAAAGGAATGATTAATAGGACATTAGTGTGTGATTTATATGGAATGGAAAAGAAACAAAGGCAAAACAAACCTGACAAGTAACTAGGTAATTTTACTCTTATTTTTATATTATATATTATTTTGCTGTCAATGTAATATAACCATGGTGCATACATGTATGTTAGTATTACAACTCTGTTTTTCTATTTTTTATTCATTTCGGTGACTAAAACATGAAATAGTATTGCCTTAATTTTCCCTGCGATGAAGCACATCGTGCTTTATAAAAAGATATTAACTTTTATGACTATTGTTCGAAAGTATCTCTAAATCAAAGGACTGTAAGCTCTGTGGTATTTTCTGATCTTTGCACTCTGAATCATACTGACTATCTGTATGTATTTTCCTGTTAATTTTATTTTTATATACTATAATTCATCTTACGGAGCGAATGCGTTTAGATTTTTTACTATAACAGTTTGAGATTGGTACATATGGAAGTTTGCATGACTAGATTGGCATAAAAAATCATTTATGTTCATTTTTATGACAGCCACACTTTATCCTTGCGTATCGTGTCTACTTCCTTAAAAAACACACTTCAAAACAAAAGATTGCCTCGACTAGGATTTGAACACCAGACCTCTCACATCCTAAACGAGCGCGCTACCCCTGCACCACGGTGAAGTTATACGTCAGTAGTCTCAATAAAAACAAATACATTGTAATTCTAAATTGAGAATTTCCATTTCGTGTTTGTAATCCTTATTATTTTCGAGGTGTTTTAAAAATAAACCTGTTATTAAACACTGATAAAAATAATCTAGCGAAAATCTTCTCGCCAAAACAGTCCGACATGTACACACATGTATATATTCCATCCACTACTAGACAGTCAGATTTATTTGCAGTATTCGGTAATCGACATCGCTAAACTTTGAATGCGTTGTAATTTGTTGGATATTTGTCACAAAATGAAAATATTTCTTTCTTATACATCGCTAGTTTTAAGCTGTTTTAAGAAGCATTTGTTGTTAGGTTTGTCGTGAAAATTCTGTGTCAGAGATTGAATGTCAGCATTGAATTTTCTGATCTGCGATCAGAAAATACAAAAACACAAATTTGAACGAAGATGAAAGTATGACAAATGACGTCAAGTACTTGATATTGATTCCATCTTTAGTATATTGTTTAGTTTATCTTTTTTGTTTTATTTCAAGTATATGTTTTTAGTTATATAAGTGAATTTCATGTTTCAATTTTCCTTCTAGAAACTCACCAATTTAGAGGTATATTACCATGACGTGTGCGTTGATCGACAGACCTCATATCCTTCAATCTCAATTAAACGCACTGTATAAGAGTCAAATTATGAGTGAGTATTGTCAATCATTTTTTTTATTATAAATGATATGATAACTCTTTTAGAAATAATATGATAACTTACAAAAATTTAAATTTAATTTAATTTAATTTATAAAAGCAACATATTTGAATAAGATCCACAACCAGTCTGTTTGTTATTTTTCTTATTTTGTTAATTTTCCTCATAAGTGATATGTTTGGTATGGCTTATACAAATAGACTGTGAATGAATTTTCCTTTTAATGTACACGTACAATTGAGGAGTTGCATAATTGGCAGATAATTTAAAAATTTAAAAAAAAATAAACCAAACAAAAAAAAAAAAAAAACCCACCTTTTTGCCAAATTTTTCCCCCATCAGCAATATAACGGAATGAAGTTAAACCCTACTTAAAAAATGTGAAGACAATAATTAATAATTGAAATAAGCATAAAAAGGAAAATTCATTCACAGTCTATTTGTTTTGTTATTGTGTGAAGAAAGGCTATTTTAGTTACACAAGAAAAAAAGAAAAACATATGATATAGTTTGTGTAGTAAAATGAATAAAATGTAAATTCGTAACCTATGGATACATCTGAAATAATCACTATTATAAGAATGGGAATACGGTAAAAACATAAAATTATAACAAATGTTATGTTATGTTATGTTATTCATGAATTCTTTTGACTGTGTGATTTGAAAAGCACTTTTTAGTGGCACTCAGGACATTACAAAATCAGTATGAAACAGTTTGAAATGCAAATACTCTTAGTGTTGTTCAAAAATCAATTGTTAAGTCAAGAAATCTGTATTGGTTTACTTAATTGCTCAAAAATAATGCAAAATAGAGACAAATTAACATTTGTACAGATGCAACGTTTAAGATATTTCGATTTTTTTATCTCTAATTGTTTTAGGCAACAAGGATGATATAAATGATTCTGACGACGTCTTTTACCCTGGCAGTGTTGATGGTATGTTCAGTTTATAAAAACTTAATGAAAGGTCATATAAAGTTATAATATGGCATTCAGGTGTAACAGTTACATTTTGTTCATTTGATACTTGTGTTGTTATCTGCAAGTTTGTTTTATGATAATTTAAACATTGAAACAATACTTAATTGTAATCTGCAATTTTGTTTTCTTATTATTGAAACATTTGATATGAATAACTGTAAATGTGATTATGAAGATACGGAATGAAGGCAACAACACCCCAGATAAAATGCCCAAACTTTAGCATAAAGAAATTATACGTATCAAACAATTAAGTAAAATTTTAATCTCTTATGACTCTAAAAGTCCGAAAGCTTGGCTGCTTTCTTTTAACATATTTACAGAATTGAAAACAAATAAATGTAATAATTTAGTACATGTGTCTTAAATCATTGCAGAAACTATTGAAGACAAAAATGCAAATGTAGTAACTGTCCCAAAGGAGCTAGAAGACGGACATACCAGTTGCAGTGAAACGGAATCAGAATATTCGGAATATTCGGAAAATTACAGTCTTGGTGAGACTAATGGATAAACAGTTTATTTCTGAATATAGCAGTCCTGGTACGGGTATGAAATCAAAGATTAAGTTTCGAATATGACATACTTTGAACAGCAATGGAAATAATGTGTGGTCAGGAGTTAAGATAATTGAATATAAGGTTACGTCGGTACTATATGTTGCAATTATGGTGGGAACCAAATATTAAGTTAGGAATACGACAGTCTTAGTTTATTAATCTGTGCACAAAATGTTAAGTAAGGTATATTACAATCTTGATAATCATGCATGAAAATAAAAGGTTAGTTCGAAATATGGTAGCCTCGTTCAGGAAATGCAATTGAATTAAAGTTGTGTCTTACAGTCTTGGTAAGACAATGGTCTGTATAAATGTTCTTTATTATGATATAAATTTTGAAACAAATGATATTGTAGTGCTGTTATAACAAATATAATATGTTTTGAATTAATAAGTTTTATTGTATTATCCGTGCGTACAAATGTGCAGTCATAAGAATTAAAATAATTCTATTTGCACTCAATAAATCAAGACAAAGAAATGAAAACTTTTAATTGGAAACAGATATTTTTTGTATCTAGCTGTTACAAAGAAATAAAATCTCTGTCTGAAGCTTATTTTCCTTTTATGTTGACTATACATTTTAGATTTACGAATGCAGGAATTAAAGGATTACCGAAATCAAGGTGATAAAATTGAGGGATCAGAATTGCATATAGAAAGCGTTGGATATAATTTGACAGGTAAAATAGTTCTTACAAACATATTTGGTCATACATTTTGACTATCAAATGCAAGGGAATGCTACTTCGTTCTACGTTTAATTAAAAGTAGTAGATTAATTTCAATGTTAGTATATTTTTCTGGTTCTCCGGGATCATTCCACTCTTCCAGCAAGTTTAAGTGTTGAAATGGTGTATCGCTCAAGCCGGGGCTAGAGGCGTGAGGGATGATGCATTTTTTCATAATCCCTCACACTCACAATCTAACCGAGTCTGCAATTTTCGTGTAATTTTGTTGTGAATAATGCTTCCGAGGGATCACATTTTTCCAGATTTTTATATACGATACAATGTAGTCTGATTTAAAATGAGCATACATTTATTTCGATAATTAGTATATTGCTTTAATAGGTTTTATTCAAGCAGCTTAAGCTTGCTGTTGTTTTCATTATTATTGTTGACATTTCATTAGCTTTATTTTATGTGTATATTTTATGCATGCGCCATGTGACATTTTTCATGCTACAAAATATAAATATGATTTGGTCATATTATTATATTAAGTAAGCAACAATTTGTGTTTACATAGATACGGATCTTGAAACAGCAAAGAATCGTTTACGTTTGGTAAAGGTCTATGCTCAACTTAAAGAAGAGATGGAAAAATCAACAACAAGGAAAATTGCAGATCTCTTATATCAACATAGGGATAAATTGTTGTCAGGACCGGCACATGAAAATATACATGCCTCAAAAACCAGATCAGAGTTTGCAGAAAGGCTGCTGAAACGGGTAAGGAATGCGTTGATATAGCTATTTCATATATTCGTTAAAATATTATTTAATATGTTAAACAAATTTGAAATATATTTTGTAAAAAATAAAGATTAAAACAAATAAAGCATACCCCTTAGTCAAAAAATGAAAAAAAATATGAAATACTGTTGAAACAGTAATACAAATACTTATAGATATTCATGACATTTTTGGTACCTTTAGGATATATCATGACTATGTTTGTCTATATTAGGTGCTGATGGGTCCCGATAACGTACATGAAGTGTTTGTAAAATTCCTAAGACAGGAAGATGATAGTTTAGCGGTAAAAATAGACAGAATAGTTCTAACGGATTATGACTTAAAAGGTAACAATCGATTTAATTGAATCGAGTTTCTGTTTGAAAATACTTCAAATACTCAAAGAAAGGATAAAAACGAAATAGTAAAGCACACTTCATTGAAATAAAGAAATTCTAGATAAAGAGAATAAATTGGAAGAGAATAACAAAACTTATCAGTTCATATGATTTGTTTTTGCGGGAGGGGATACTTAAAGTTTTAATGATAATGCATTGTTCGCACCGGATATGTTGTATTATGTATTCTGTAAATGTTTCGCTACTTTTTAGATCCTTACTCTCATATTGTTAAAGTGAAATGGATATCTCTGTTTTAAATTATTTTATAAGTATTCATTTATAGTGTTTTTGGCAATGGAACGGAAAGCCGAATCTCACGGACCAAAGCAGTATAAGAACAAGTTTACTAAAGCTTTTATGAAGCGTCATCGTAAGATTCTGGAGCATTGGTTGAACGATAAGATTGTTGTGGATTCAATAAACGACCAGTTTTTATCAAGACTTATCTTTGGTATTGGTGAACATACAGATATTGCTGACAATTCAAAAGACACAAAAAGCAAACTGAAACTCCTTTTAAGTACAATTGAAAACTGTCAGCAGGATATCAGAGGAGTCTTTGTCGAGATTTTAAAGTTGGACAATGTTGGAATGGCACATATACTCGATAGATTACGCAAACGAAATTCTGTCAGTCGAAAAAATGAGAAAAGAAAAAGTGGTATGTATCAACTCTTTTTTCTCTAACAAATTGTATTTTTTTCACACATGTATACAACGAAGTATCAAATGGATATCATTGTCTTATAATGCTCGTATGAAACATAGATTCAAAAGTTAACATTTATAGCTTTTGGTTAATAGAAATATATTCTTGATGGAAAGAGAGAGAAAATCAGGAACTATAATCGACATCGGTTATTCTGTGTTAGAGTCTTGCTTTGTGTAAACAATACTTCACGTGTGTTCCAGTTGTGTAAATCATTGCTGATTCTATTTTATATTGTTTACTAGACGAAACTCTTTTTGCCACACCGCCAAAACGAAAGACCATACGTAACAACTTATGTTCAGATAAAGAGGCAAACATTGTCAAAACGCTTCAATCAAGCAAAGGTGCAAACGTTAAAGATAAACTTTCAGAATTAGGTAAGCACATTAAGGCATTGATACAATTATATACTTTATAAAACTCAACAGTAAGGTATTGTTTGGCAGTATTGGCCAGATACTCATTACTTTTCGGGAGTTTATACGGTAGTTTCCGTGATTTGTCATAATTAAAGCTTGAGATTTTAATCATGATATAGATCTCGATACTTTTATCAATACATACTACTCGGTAGCCTTATAGTAAGAATGATTGAATTATGAGCACGTAATTCCAAGTTCGAATCTCGGACAAACCTTTTTTGTAGTTTCATAAACTATATATATATCTATATTCTGTTTCTGTTGATTATACGAAACACGAGATGATAAAGTGAATGTTTTATTTTATAAAAAAAATATCATACACAAAAACATAAAAAAAATCATTTGCTTCGAACCTACATCTAATTAAAAGTCATACACTTTGTCACCCATATGCTGGTAAGTTATATATGTGCCGCAATATCATATGTTAAAATCCGTTTGCATTACTTCAGAATCCGATCATTACCGACAAAATGTCATTGAATATTCAAATATCTTAGGTCAATATTGCCAAACAATAACAATGCTTGGGTTTTTACTGAGCCATGCTGTAACAACAATTGATAAGCTTACAGTGTACGTAAGAATACAACATCTGGCTTTTTGTTGGTCATAATGGAAGAACTTTTTCTGTACCTTTAAAAATAAACTGTATGTATTTTATATGACATTTTTCTAATTTCAGATTTGGAGTATGAGGAAACATGTGAAGGATCAACTTTGAAAGTTGGCCCCAAAAAATCCTAAAAGTCCCCAAAAAAATTTTAAAAATAGTTGTCCACGGGGACATCAAAAAATTTTTGGGCCCTAAAAGTGTATAAAAATAATGTTTTCGGGATTTTGGAAAAAAAGGGGGAATATTTTTTTAATTTTTAAAAATATTTTCTTTTTAAAACCCCCTTCCTTTATTAAAAAAAGAAATGTTTTTTCCTTTAATGTTTTTTTTTTAAAAAAAAAAATTGCTTATAATGTTTCATGTTGTAATACAAAGGGTTTAAAAAAACCCTTTTTTTCGGGGCCACTTTTTTTGTGGTGTTACTTTTTTGTCTAAAAAACATGATATTGGGGGAAAGGGAAAAAATCAAAGCCGATGGGGGAAAAAATTTTTCAAAAAAAATTTTCCGACCCCGATTAAATGAAGAAGTTTAAAAGATGAAAAATTTCAAAAAACCTTTAAAACAAGGGCTTTGAAACATTTTTCAAAAACTTTTTAAAAGGGCTGAAGTTTAAAAAACCGACGTTTTTTCTATTTGGGTCAAAGGTTTTAAACTTTCTTTTATTTATGTTTTTTTTATGTTTTGAAATAATAAAAAAATGATTCATAAGCATTTTTCTTTTTGTTCAAAAAAAACGGGTTTTTATTTAAAGATGAAAAAAGAAATATTTAATGGGGGAAATAAGGGGTCACTCTTTTTGGTTGGGTTTTTTAAAATTTTATATCAAAAAACCTTACATCTTTAAAGTGAAAATTTTAATTTAAATTTCTTGTCATTATCATTAAACTTTTGGGACTATCTTTAAATTTATTTAATCATTTTAAAATTTTTCCCCAAGTTTTTTGGGGGGGGATAAAAAATTTTTAAACATTTAAACTACGGTAGTCGAATTTTAATGAAGATAAAATTCAAAAAAAGGGGGCCCGAAAAAATTTTTAAACCCATTTTTTAAAGGGTTAAAGGGCCCCATTTAACCAAAACGGCAAAAAACCCTATTGTCGTGCCCAAATTGAAAATATAATCTTTTAAATTTATAAATGTGAATATCTTGAATAAAAAAAAACCCAAAAAAACTTTTTTTGCCAAGAGTTGGAGAAAACAAAAAGGCTGAAAAACCAAAATTTAAAAAGATAAAGGGTATTGGGGGGGTGGAAACATAAAACTAAAATTTTAAATTTTTCCAAGAGGGAAAAAGGAAACAATTGTCTTGGAGAAAAAAAGGGAAAGCCCATGGCTTTAAGAGGGAAAAAATTTTAAAGTTGTTTTAAATTTTTTAAAAAGCTTTGGGTTTTGTTTGGAATAGCCCCCAAAGCTAAACTTAAAATAATTAAAATTTTAAATTACAAAATTGGGAAAAATTTTTTATTTTATTTTATTTATTTGTTTTTTTTCCAGGGAATTTGTAGGGCTTGATTTAATTTTTTTTCTTTCTATAAAAATTTCCTAATTTTTCCATTAAAAATACAATAAAATTTTTTAGTGCAAAAAGAATTGTTTTGGGAAAAACATTTAATAGCGAACCCCATTTAAAAAAAGCAATGAAAAAAAAAACGAAAAGGGAAAAAATTGCAAAAATTTTTTGATTTCTTAAATCTGTTCATAAGTATTACGGGGGCAGAAGGGTTGAGTATACCTTTTAATTTATTGATTCAGGGGCCCCTTTTTGTATTCTCAAAAACCCGTATCAATTTTTTGCACCATAGCACCCTAAATTCTAATTAATTTCATTTTTGGTACAAAAATTTTAAAAATTTCCGATTAAACTTTTAATCATTTTTAGGGGAAAAAATTTTTTTGAATTTCAAAAAACATCCCAGATTTTCTTACGGTGAAATCATTAAAAACCTTCAATGTTACAAAAAAGTTATTCCATAAAAGGGGGGGTTTAACTGCCCCCAAAAAAAAAAGAAAATGCTCTGAATTATTTTGGGAAAAAAATTCTCCTTGGGAAAGCATTTTTTCAAAACAAATTACGTAAAAAAATTGCAGACTGGGTTTTTGATTTGGGGGAAAATTTGAAAAAAATTTTTAAACCCAACCCTCTCCCCGCTCCTGTCCCCAAAATTTTAAAACCATGCTCCACAGCTTTTTTTTCAATTTTTAAAAACCCATTTCCCTTTGTTTGGCCAGGTACAATATATTGAAAAAAACTACTTTTTAAAAACTGGGGAAACGAATCCCTTTAAAAAAGGTTTAATAAAAATAAAGAAACAAGGAAAAGAATAAAGAGATGGGGATGAGAAAAATTTTGGGAAAACTCGACCTACAAGCCATGAAAGAAAAAACAAAAAAAACTCTTTTATGCCGTTTCCTTCCCTTCTTATGTTTAAAAAAGCGGGTTCGTTTAATTGGGTTTTTTTTAATTTAAATTTTTCATTTTGGGGTTTTTTCCAATATTAAAAATTTTTTCCTTTAAAAGGAAAAACATTTTTTCCCTTTCTTTTTAACGATTAAAATTTATTCAAATAAACTTTTTTGATAAAATTATTTTAGTTTTCTTTTTTTTAAAAAGTATTGTATGATTTTTATTGTTTATATTTTTTACTTTTTTTAAAAATTTGTTGTTTGAAAAAAAAGGGGGAAAAACAGAAGAAAGGAAAAGGGTTTTAAGAAATTTAAAATTTTTCCTAAAAAATTGCCTTTTTCCCATTTGGTTTAAAGGGTTTTTTGATAAAAACACAAAATTTTTTAAGGGATACGCGTAAAAATTAATATTTCACAATTGTCATGAATAGACTTATTCAAATTTTATATCCCGGGGGAATGCTTAAAAATAAAAAATTTTAAACCCCAATTGGGGGAATTTTTTGGGTTTTTGTGTTTAAACGGGGACAACAAAAAGAAAAAAAAATTAAAAAAGGGCCTTTTTAAAACTTCATTTATAGCATTAAATTGTTTGGTAATATAGGAAAAAATTTTGAATGTTTTTAGTTAAAAAAATTGGGTTTAAAAATTTTGTTTCGTTTGCGGGGGTAGTTTGTCTCTCAATGACAAGCACAGGGTAAATATAAAATTTTTTAACCAAATTTTGCCTTTTTCCTATTTACATATTGTAAAAAATTCTGTTCCCGGGGCTAATACAGAAAAAACGTGGGGAAAAAAAACTCGGATGAAAAATTTCTTCTTTGGGACAAACATTTGGAAGTTTTGATAAATCCCCGGGGAAGGGAAAAAGGTAGGGTTTTAAAAGCCCAAATTTTTTTAAAGAATACAACAAAATTTAACATTTTTAAAGGGGTAAATTTAAAAAACCCTTATTTACTACTTTTAAATTCTTTTTAAAATTTTTTTAATTTTTTAAAATTTTGCATGTTTTTAAGTGTAAATATCTCAATCTATTTTGTAAAAAATTGTTTTTATGGGTACGGTATTACTTACGTTTTAACCGTAGTTTTGTTTTTAACAAATATTTTAAAAATTTGGGCCCAAAAAGAAAGTCAGGAATAACAGTATTTTTTTCAAAAGTCAAAAAGAGATATAAGAAGAAAATTGGTCCTTTTTATTTTTAAAAATACTTTTTCAGATAACCTTTCCTCAAGAAAATTGGGAAGGGGAAAAAAAAGTTTAAATATCCTGTTTTGAAAACCAAAAAAAAATGTATTTTCCCAAATTTAAAAATCAAAATTTCCCAAATTTTTTTACCAAAAAAACCCGCCCAAAAAAAAATTTTAAACCCAAATTTTTTATTCAAAAGTAAAGTTAAATGCAGATTAAAAACAACAAAAGTTAAAAAAAATTTTTGTTGATTAAAAGGAATGTTTTTAAAAAGTTAATAACTTTAAACTGCGATTTAAATTCCCTTTTTGTTTATAACCCGGGATAAAAAAAAAGCGAGTTTTTTAAAAAAGGGAAATTTTTTCATTTATATTTTTTTGATCAAAAGTCTGATTTTAAAAGGAAATACAAATATGGGTTGCTACAGGGCCCCTGCTGGTTAAACCCCTTTAAATAAGTTATTTCCCTAAATGCCCGAAATCAAAATTTACATAAACTTTTTGTCTATATATAACTTTTCCCTTAGAAAAAATTTAAAAAATATTCAAAAAAAAAACTATGAAGTAAAATTTTAAAATTTAGTATTTTAAAAAAAAGTTCAAAATAAAATTTTGCATAATTTTAAAAAAGCTTTTATTTCATTTTTTTTTAATACTATCATTTTTAAAAGGTCTGGGTTTAAAGGGGTAAGAAAATATTGAAAAAGTTTACTTATTTTTTATATGGGAAAATTTAAAAAAATTTCCAAAAGTTAAAATTAACAAAAAAAATGGCAAAAAACTTATTTATTTTAAAAAAAGGAAAAAAAATTTTTAAAATAATTTACAAAAATTTTAAACAATTTAATTTTATTATTTTACATTTTATTTTAAATTTATAAATTTTTGGAAAAAATATTTAGGGGAAATCTCACCCCAGAGAAAAACGAATGCCCGGTTTTCCCAAAATCTGAAAAAGAAAAAATTTAAAACCCTTTGAAGAAAAGGGAAAAAAAGGAACTGCATTGGTTCCCGTTCAAATAGTTCAAAGAATTTTTTTGGTCTGCGTAACTTTGAGATTTTTTTTCAAAACCCGGGGGGCTGATTTTTTAAAATTAATGATTGAGGAACATTAATTAACAAATTGACAATTAAGCGGATAGTTATGGCTTAGTCGTTAAGATTATATTCTTCTTCTGAATAAATATTATGCAATTGGGCCATGCTCATATTTCTAGATGTCGGTGAACTGCCGCATTATGTGAAATGATGATTATTGTTACCGTTTCTGCATTGAATAAGGCAATCTGAAAATTATACAGAAGTGAATAAAAACATTTAGACATTCTAGTACAATATGTACCTGTATCTGATCTAACATTATACATGTACTAGTATATAGACAAACGGGTTTTTAGTACACTATTATTTTATCTGTGTTTGTTGTTTATGATACAACTGAAACTATATATGTGAGGAAAACTTTCAGATTAAGACTTCAGGTTAAAGATTCTTAAAGTATGGTATTTTGAAAGCTATCGGTTTAAAACATAGTTTAAGACATGTATCAACAAAAACTTCAATAAAATATTGACAACAAAGATCAAAAAAGAAAAGATCGATAAAAAAACTGAAACCAGCATATTACAAAAGAAAGTGGGTCTATGATTTTTCCCAAAAAGTAATATATAGATTATTGTTTAGTTGTTCTTAAGATGTTGTGTGTTAATGTAAAATCAATTTTCGTCAAGGTCAGGAGAAGTTATTCTTCAATTAAAAAAGATAAAATTGTATTTCATTGAATCAATCCTTTGACCGTTGGCCGTTAAACAAAAGAAAACTAAGTACAATTACGTTGACATATTTTTCTTTTCATAGCATGGTAAACCATTTATACATAAATAAAGTGTATGTTATCAAGAAATCAAAGGGGGGAAGCCTTACTTCACGATTACTCCAATACGTGTTCTTGATGGACGGGTACGATTAGTCCAATACCATTGGAAAACCTCACCTGGGAAGTGAAATTATTGTTATATTGTTAGAACCTGTTGCCCAACTCATTTGCTTTTGTTTTATTGTTCTATTTTGTGTGTATTTGCCGGTAAATGCAATAAAATATAAACTATAACTTAAATACCTATCTGACACCACGTGTCTTATTTACAGATAGTCAGTGCTGACACGTTCGTAATGTTTTATCATAATGCCTTGAACATCAATCAAAAATATTCTGATACTTTTAATAAGCAAAAATGTCAACAACACATTCTACATTCTAACAGTGTATTATAGTTTGGAGACCTTTGTGTTGAAAATGTGTCAGAGTTAGATCGTATATATACTACCCGCGCTCCAGAGCCTACCCATTGATTGGCTCATTCTTGCTGGGGTTTACTTAGTGTGACGGCAGAGAAAGGTAAAGCAATAGAAATATGATATTCAGATGCTTGTTCATTCGTTATTTTTTCTAGGGTTAAATATTGTGACAAAAGGGAACTTGTATTATGTTTGACTATGATACAAATGAGAAAGAACATCAAAACACTCGGCAATCTGATTAATACTCGGGGGCCAGCCTCCTTGCTCAAATAAAAAACTTCGTGTTTCGATGCTCTTTATATTACTAAACACATTACCAAATCCAATCAAAATAAAACAAACTAACATATTACATCAATTTATTATAAAAAAAGGCGGCTATTAAAGCTTTAAAAGCCAGAACAATGTCATAATGAACTTGTTTTCTACTTTTAAAGTAAGTAAATGAAAAGATTGAAAAATTCTAAATGTTTTATGACAATGCGACGACTCGAAAAATAAATCTTACCATAACGCAGTAAATTAAAAGAAAAAGTATGCATCTTGCTCAAGATCATATGAGACTCGGCTGCTTTACTGAATGATACAAAATTATGTTTACCGTATCTAGAGAATCATTAGTAAAACAGAATTATACATGTATATATCCGTAACAAGAATATGAATACAAATCAATTTACGGAACGCAGTTACTAACAAAGTCCAGTCACACAAAACCAATGATAAGGCACTAAGTGCTGCACCGTGCAGAAACAGAACTTAACAAATGAATGTCACACTAGGTTAACTAGATATTTCAAAGCTTTCTGATTTAGAGAAAATACTGGTAGAATTTGTTGATTCGGTCCCCAAAACATTGTTGTCGAAGCTGTAGTAGTTTTAAGGTATATGAGGTTAATTAAAAGATTATCATCCTTATACTTTTACTTTTTAAGTGACTTTAAAAGACCTGTTGGATTGTTTCATGTGTGCATTGTAATCCGCTTCCACGAAATAAAATCATGATAGAGAATATAGGTGAATAGTACTCGGACGATTACTTTAAAAAATACAAAACAAATATAGAGCAAACAATAAAGAATACATTTTGCTAAAGAGTAAAAAAGAAAAACTGGTCAGAAAAATATAAAACAGTTGTTAAGGCAATACCGGCTTCACAAGACACGGGATAATCCGATTCTTGTAAGCATGAGTATGACAACATTGGTGATAAATCTACGCGCGTTACCCCACCCACTAGTGACAGTGACGAAAGTGCGTCTCCACTTGATTGTAGTACATAAAATCTTTAGAGACTGATAAATTGAAAAAATTAAATCTATGAAAAAAAGTTCAAATTTTAATTTAATTGTAGTAAACTTACTTATTGTTCTCGTTTGTTTGTTGATTGAAGAAATAACACGGGTGACTTATATTTAAAATATGATAAGTACTACTTACGTCATATTGCATCAAAAGACGTAGTCATTTATGTTTTTATTTGTTTGTTTTCGATAGATAACAATGCATGTGATACAACACTATTATAAGTAAAGAAATCGTGGTCATTTTGACAGTTGGAATATGCGATAACCATGGAAACTGCCCGTTAACAATTATGTAACACGTAAACATAAATTTTCATTTTTGAATTTAAAATTGATTTTTATTTAAAAAATCATAAATATTAAAAATTCTATGAAATGTTTCGATATCTTTATTTAATTGCATAACTCAAGTTTACTTTCTTTGGTTTTCGTTGAGTCAAGAAACAAGAAAAACTTATTTTTAGAGAAATATGTTCAGTATGACAGTTTGAAATATTAGATTAATATGGAAATTGACATTTTATATACAAAAGAATCCATTGTTTCCACATATATTTTTCTTTTTATTATTGAATTCAGCATGAAATTTTGCCTTTCTATGCTAGGATTAAATTTTTCTAAAACTGTAGAACATGTGTTTAAATCTATAACAAACATCCGTGCCGCTTTGGTGACTTCGTAAAAATGGTATTTTTGCGTGACGTCATTTGTGTTATACAAACGTAGCGTAAATACGCGCTAAATGTTAGCTATAAACTGAATAAGCGTCATGGAAAGGTGATTCTTTGTCACTGTAAAAATATCTTATTTTGGGTATATGATGAATAGAATATTATGTTCGAGTATATTCATTACGAAAATATTGCACTTGTTTAATAAATTTAGTATTAAATCTACCCTCATTAAATACCCATTATTTGTGAAACAGTTCAAACAAAATGATATCAAAAACGGCATAATATGGTGTCTTTCATGCTGTTCGTGTTTTTTTTTTTTTTTTTTTTTTTTTTTTTTTAGACAAATAACAACAAATTTATTACTCATTATCATTTTGTTATTGAAAACAATTAAAATATTCACTAAAAATAGTTACAACAGCTCACTTCTTCCCCTGTGTGGATTTATTTCTTATTTCCTATCGGTTTTTCCTCTTTCCTGTCCTTTACTTGCACAGTTTCTCAAAATAAGCTCTAAAAATCATATGATGACTAAGATATAAAATAGTTCAACTAAAATATTAGGTAGGTTTTGTTTGAGGACAAAATGAATAAGTCTGATTCTCTTTATTCATTGGCGACCGCTTAAGATGTCTGGTCAAATGATAATATTCTGCGTAAAAATCTTCCTTTCGACTAAAGTCTAAAATAAAGTCTAGACTAAATTTTTCAATTAATTGTTGTTGTTTTTTTTTTTGTCTTTCTGTTGTAACATTTTGAAAAAGGCAATTTGATTTATGACATTTTGCGTTAGAAATTGTTTACAAGTCTCGTATAAATTGTCATTCAATACTAGTGATTTTACAAATAACAAAAGAGCGGGGTCAGCGATCTTTTTTTGTCTAAATGACCCTTAGTGTTTTTACTTAAATGATTTTGTAATTGTAAATTCAAAATGACTTCACCATATCTCCTGAAATCTAAAAATATTTTGTATTAATAATCATCGGGCGTAAAACCATTACGTCGTACTTGAATGTCATTTTTAAAAAAGCAACACCGTTCAGATTATGCCATTTTGTATGAAAGTTATGTCTAAACTGATTGGATTATTGTTTTAAACTATAAGTCAGTTTATTTGTTAAAAGAAACATTATACAAACATTCTGACTGACATGAAAAGTTTCTTCAAGTAAGTAAGTAAACTATCTTTTTCTTATTTTGCAAGTAAAATAAACCCGATGGTTATAACTAATTTCAAATAAAAATATCTAGTTTGTAACTTGTTTTATTTCTTTTCTTATGAATTTTTTCTCTTAGTTTTATAGATTGTTAGGGGAAAATGCATTAAATATTCAATTTACATAGATGCTACGTCTGCAAATTAAACAAAAGCAGGTCGTAGGTTTTAATACCATTTGTCTTATACTGGTGATAAACACTATTCTAAAACTCTGTTTAAGGCTGAAATAATGTACGACCTTTTGCTGAATAAGGTATCGACAAGAAAATCAACAATGAAACACAGCGAGAATTCATTAGGTAAATAACAATAATTATTTCATTAATGAATGTTTGCTGCAAGACATAAAAGTCTACGTGTACATCTGGTCTTTCTTTTTACAACTCAAAGAAACATGGCTATTCCGTTTGTAATTAATATTTAAAAATGTCATAATTATGTAAATGATATAACCTGAGTTTATTGCCGGCAGTGCTTCTTATAACATTATGTTGATTAAAAAGTCGTAATAATGTGTGTATTAAAAGGATTTATTTTATTGGCCGTCTCTGGCAATTTCCCACACTATTTTAGTGTCCATGTTTAGACATAGATTATGTTGTCTGTTAATATTTTGGTTTAAGCGCTATGTTTTAAGTCAGGAAATAGGTGCCGTTGCCATTTCCGAATAATATATGTTTAATATATAACTATTTTAACATCTGACATTCTTGTAACAAGCAATGCTGCTTTATAGTTCTTATGATATAATACTAAAATCTTGAACAACCTTATTGCAACTTTACCAAGGTTCAAATATGCGAAATTATACAATTCAGGACTTTCCACATCAAGTACAGACGATGCAGAATGTTCCCAAGGAAAAGCACGTGAATTGTCAAGAACTTGCAACAACAATTCAGATATGGTCACATGTGAGTATTTTCAAATGTTTATAAGTTTGTTTTAAAAAAAATCAGAAGTTAACCTATGCACTTATTGTACCACTTAATATTTTCCGACAAAAAACACAAATGTGTGAAATATGTTTACCTGCTTGTTTAATTGTAATTACATTTAAAGGTACATTTATTTGTCATTTAGAATAGTGTCGTCTTATTATAATTTTATTAGCTGTTGACTTCTACAAACAATTTTTTAGGTCTTAATACTGAACATGAAAACCAACAAACTACTTCAAATCCGTTTGACTACAGGAAGGAGGAAAGAGAATCAAGCATATTCAACATGCCTCAAAGAGCAAAACATTATAAAGCGGGGTTACGGAGGTCCGGAATGTTTAAATCAAGACAGCCAAGCAATGAACGGGAACGTAAGATTTCTACTAAACAGATAGCTGTTAGATTATATTGGCATTTTATCATGGCCATAAACAAGTATAGATAATTATAGAGGATAAATGTACCTTTTTCGTGCAAAATCATCTGCAAACTACGAGGACGTATTCAAAGCCCTAGCCTGCAGGGCTAAAAATTTAATAAGTCTGAGGGCGTTCTTACATAAAATATATGTCTTATTTGGAAATACAGTAATTTATTTTGTTCGTCTTGAGAATTAAACAACAGGACTGTCTTTTTCAGTTAGCTTTTTTACATGGCGCCTTTAGTCAACATTTTATAAACAGTGCAACAACGGTGCAGGCTTGTGCGATATTTATCTAGTAATAAATAACATGCGTATGCAGTTTTAATGCTGTAATTGTCTCATAAATTACTACGGTCCAAGACAGTAACAAAAATATTAACAAGTTACAACTTTTAAATCAAAAACAAAATTAATTCTTAAAAACAAATTAAAATAATTATTAACAAAATTATTAAATGTTTACAATTCTTAACAAAATTGATTACGGATGTCCTGGATAAATACTAATCATGTCTTGTCATTGTGAATAATTGCATATCCACTTGTTATGTATCCAAACAAATATCCAGGATAGCTTTTATTATTAATTACGAAGAAATCATTGAATAGGTAAAGAAGTTTCACACAAAGTATAATTGAAAATATTTTCAAAATCTCTGAAGTTTATTTATTGTCCAAAAATACTTTTTATTAAGATTTTACCAAAAGATACCTCAAATATTTATTTTTGTAAAGCTAAGTGAAACGATATAAACAGTGAGTCATAACGATTCACATGTCGTTTATTGACGAATGTTTACCAAATTTATCATTTTATACGAAAAAACAATGAAAGTATAAAAGAAAGAAGAGTTCAATACAGCCATTGTTAGGTTACTTGTGTTAAATATATATTACCTTTTATTAAAAGCGGCAAAATGTGTTTTTAATGTTTTTTATCACTTTCCTAGTAAAGTCCTTGAGTAAGTGGAAAAAAAATGCATGCACTTCGTTTTACTATATCATGTATCACCATGTCGCCAACGATGTGCGACAAGGCAACAAGAGACCTTGGCTGTTAAAACCCCTCCTTTGATAATGTAAAAATTTAATAATTTTGTAAAAAAATTCTAGTGGCAGATCCAATGCGTCATCAGGTGGCAATAGTCAAGTCCTATAAGTTGCTGAAAGAGGAGCTACAGAGACCTGATGTCATTAGGATATCTAACAAACTATTTCCTGAAGACAGAGAGCTACAATTGGAGATTGAATCCGCAAACAAAAGGAGACGGGTTGTAGATATTCTTTTAAAGAGGGTAAAATTTTGATTACCTGGATTCTTTTCTAAACTCATTGCAACCTTTTCGTTTTTCAATAGTTTTACATAAAGATAACAAATATTGAGATTTAAGTTCAATCTAAATACAACTAATGTGTAACATCGTTCATTTTATGATTGTATTAACTCTTGACTAAAGAATTCAGGATGTGAAACCTAAGAAACAAAGCGGATCAGGTTTCAGTTTATTTATTAATGGCTAACGTTTAAGCTATTTAGTAGCCTTCATCAGTGTACAAATATATCATAATTTATCACTAAGGTACAATTTTGACGGCTCATTTATCACGTGATCAAATCTATATTTAGTCCGAGGTTCTTATTCAAAGACTTTCGAAAATGGCGGAAAAGTTGCAATTGTCCACTTAGCTTATAAGGAAAAGAATCAGATAAGTAATCAAGGGTTACTGCTTCGGTCGATGCGTATTTTATTGCCACCGCAGCATTTAAGAAATTAGGATTTTTTATCCAGGAATTTCGAGATAATTTGTGGATAATGATTCTTTTCTTTTATAGATTTTAGCATGTTCAAACGAAAAGAAATCGCAGTTTATTGGAGAATTAAGGACTGTCCAATGCAGCAAACTTCTTGTTGATACCAAAGAAGTCACCGAAGAGGATTTAACAAGTATTTTTTTTTTGGAATATATAGACATTTTTACGACGCGGTCCTCTGTTGTGCAAGACTGTATTTTCTCGCACATGCTAATTTGCGTAGGGCAGAAACTTTACAATCTTTACAAACTTTATAAACATTTTAATCAGGGATGTTATATTTTCGACTCTTAAAGATCGTTCAGCACGACATTATTGATCTGCTTGTAGCATTTTAGTTCTTTCTATTTGGCATCTTTCTCGTTGGGTGGTTCCAGTATTCCTCACTTGAATACTGTTGAATCAACCTTGCTTATTAAATTTGTCTTTTGACGTCAAATATGTGATATGCAGGCTTCGTAACATCTGATCCCCTTTAAAAATTCCATTTTATTTAGTTACGCTCATTGTTTTCTCGTTTAGGGCACACGCATTTTTGTCCTTGGGGACCATATGCCGCTTTTCATGAAATGACACAACTGTGTCACATTGAAGGTTCCATGGTAACCGCCGTATGAACACATCTTCGGATGTTTCTAAATTCAAAATTCACCATTTTTGTGTTTAAATGTTGAATTCTGCTTAAGCCGTTGCTAGGGGGCGTGGGCGGTAACTTGCACTTTCCAGTACCGTCCATGAAGAGGCTCAATCAAACCGAGCCTGCAACATTTTACAATTTTGCCGTGTTGGGCTTTCTTTAGGGATTTTGTTTTTCTCTATTTAACTGTTCGAATTATCGTAGTTCCGGGATAATAATGAAGTAACAAGAATGTAGCTTGCACATGGAAATGGTTAAAAGCAGCATGCGTCTAGATTTATGCCCATTTTCACGAAATGTTTGAATATGCTTTTGAAAGAAAACATGTATATTTTTGTGAAATGGACAAAGAAAGCAAATAACACTCACAATACACGGTAAAAAAGAGCCGAAATATGCAGAAATAACCCTTACTGTCGTCACGCAGTAGATTTATGGTGAAAAATAACAATTATAGCATATTTACAGTATAGTATGTCCTGCTTACTGCCCATGTTTCTAAAGAGGGCAGTAGAAACTGTCCCCTCTTCTTAGTACCCTTATCGGGGTGCAAAATGATAAGTGCACCCAGCCATCACAACTATCACATCTTCCCCACTTTACAATAATAAGATGTGGGTACATCATTGTTGTGATTAATGCTTCCGAGGGATCACTTTGTTTCCAGAATTTTTTGGCATTAAACGACAAACATCAAATCTTTAAAGACACAGCCGCCATGCCATTTGAAATGGACCGAAGCATCCTGCATCAAGGGGCTGAAGAGGGCGACTGCAGTGGGGTGGTAATACAAAATAAAACAATGTTATTCAACTTAGCCCACTCCTTCAAACTGAGGGAAACGTGACTTTTGTGTCCATCACAAAGAACAAGTATATATGTGTCTGTGTCCCTTACTGGTAAGTATTTTGACGAATGTTTTTTCATGTAATCTGAAATAAACTTCTGAATTAGACCACCCAGAGGTAGAAACAGTACCATCAGCACATGCAAAAGACCCTCAATCAGTTTTGGTAGCATTATTTTACCAGGCAACACAATATAGGGTGGAACTTGTTGTCCTACACCAGTAAGTGTTTAAGTTTTTGACTTGCCTGATGTTATAATAAAGAGATAAATAAGAATCCTCAAAAAAGCCCAACACGGCAAAACTGAAAATGTTGCAGGCTCGGTTTGTTTGAGCCTGTTCATGGACGGTTATGGTAAGTACAAGTTACCGCCCATGCCCCCTAACACCGGCTTAAGCAGAATTCAACATTTAACATGAACTGGTAAAATTTAGAAAATTGAAACATCCGCAGATGTGTTCATACTGCGATCATTATCACTGCGGATGATCACGTGACCAAAATCGTACAATAGGCTCATAAAATGGCGGCCTAAACGCTCGGTAAAAGCAGTGAAAATGAGGTAAGCATACAGTTAACGTTAAATTTATATGTTAAACTAGGCCGCACGGAATCCCTGTATAAAAACCACATTCTGTTCTGTTGTTGGTTACTTTGTAGCTCTCTCTGTTTAGGCCTGAAAGTCGTAAAAGTTGTTTTGGGTGATTAGTACAATGGCCGAACAGGTACTAAAATACGTTGTTTTCAGTAGATGAAACACATTTTGAGCAAAATTAGCAATGACATCTTGTGCACAATCGGATGTTTGTTCGTCCAGAACAATTTCCATCCTTTGTAAAGTTGCATAACGAAGATGTACATTTTTTTAAAAACGAGTACAATGGCCGAACCAAATTTAATGAGTACAATGGCCGAGCGATTTTATTGCCTATCCTACTTCGTTAAATTTTTCATTGAATTATGCTTGTTTCTCGCTTCCTGTCTTTAAAATCATACGAAAATGATATTTGAAAGTAAAAAGTAGGGAAAAGTATTAAATAAAATAAATTCAGTTTGCTTGCTATAAATTCTCATCTTAATAGTATTTTGCTTTGATAACACACGTGTACATCAGTGTAAAAGTATTTAAAATACAAAAATAAAATACAAACATGTACATTATATAGAATTTATTTCACCAGCAAAATATATGTTTCAATTACATACATAAAATTGTCAATTATTTTTGAAATAAAGTCAGGTTTTTTTGTTTTTGTATTTGTTGTTGTTGTTTTTTTAATTTCAGACGCAGAATAAGTGGTTCCTTTAAATGAAAAGCATGTTTACGTATATCTTTGGAATATTTACATGTATATATTAGATTTTAAAATTGTGTTTATATTATCGTTAAATACTTCATCACACCATATTAATTCAATATCTTAAGAGGAAATGGAAATTTCTTATGTGTTTATTTTCCGGCATTATGGCAAATCGTATAGAAGACGATCAGCTTCTTGTCGTCACGAGCAGGTACACAAGGGGAAGGTATCCCATACATGCTGTGGGACATGGTTCCTAAGTTTCGGCTAACTTAGAAAGACATTGGTTTGTAAATTACATATTGTACATGAAGTACATAGCTGTCTGATATTTTTACATACTGCTTGAGTGTCTAAGATGGAAAGAACACAAAGAAGTGGTTACATGTAAATAAACACTGCGAAAAAGGTATGGATATACGGAAGTGTACGGAATTCCGTATATCATCAATATACGGGTAAGAATACGGGAAACTGGAAATACGGAGATGTACGGGACCGTATATTATGTCAGTCCGTATATGACCAATATACGGTGATCCGTACACTCGTAATATACGGGAACTTTGATATACGAAGTCCGTATTTTAATGATATACGGAATTTTTATAACAAGTCCGTATATTACTAAAATACGAAATTCCGTATTCGTGCAAATACGGATTCTGTATATAAGAATAGCGAATGAAGATTTACTTCTAAATCGCCTATTACCTATAAGAGGAAAGAAATAGTCTGATCTAATATTTGTCAGACATTTGACAAACTAACATAAACAGGAACGCTTTTACACGATGTAATATTTTCTGGAAGTATTAACACGTTACTTGCATACTTATAATATCGTCAGTGCACAGAACGTGTAAAACATCCACCTGTAGCATGCAGACAAAGAACGACAACGTACATTGAAATATCTTCTTTTGTATACAAAGCAACGCGGTATTCTAGGTCAATACCGCATGGTTTGCGTTTTAGCATACAGCCGCAGATAAATAGCGAATACTTTACAATTGCGATTGACGATTAGATAGTACTTTTTGTATTCTGCATTTATGGTGAATCATGTTATTTTGTATTTTTTTTATTATTATCATTATATTTTTTTAAAATGATAAGCCAAACATGAGAAAATGATAAAGTTAAAATTGTGATGTTCTAAACATAAATTAATTATATTAAAATCGTGGATCTGTGAAGTTGAAATCGTGAAAGGTAAAATTATGTAATCACGTAGATGAAATCGGGATTGTCCATACACAGTATTTAAATTTTACGTTTATATATATCCTATAAATAATTTAATACATGTACTTGCATATGTAAAAAACAACAACAATGTGCATGATATCTCATTAATTCATTAATTCACATTCATTCATTCATTCTTTTATTCATTCATTCATTCAATCAATCAATCAATCAATCAACCACCAATCAAACAATCAATCATTCATTCATCACCACTCATTTATTTATTTATTTATTTATTTATTTATTTATTTATTTATTTATTTATTTATTTATTTATTTATCTATCTATTTATTTATTAATCATTTATTTATTTAATCATTTATTTCAGGAAACATAAAGACTTGCATTTTTATACACAAGTTTGAATAGAAATCTTATGAAGTTCCGAATTCCCCAATTTTAATTATTTTCGCGCGGTCTCATTTCTGACATAATATTGCGTAACAGCCACGTGCTGTATTAGGATAATCGAAGCCAATACTGATTAAGCCGGATATTGATCCGGATATTGATCATAAACGCAGCAGGGTATCACGAGTGTCGGTTTTCTCCGATTATGTAAGTTCGCGCAATTGGTGTTGAATGTCTTAACGGTAATTTTCGCTGTTAATTTCTTGTAAGAAAGAATGGAATTAAATTGGGATCTTATAACAGAGTCTCTATGTGATTTTATTCCAGATATTATAAAGACTCTAACCTGACATATTAAAATGAAACAGATATAGCCAATGTTTTTTTTTGTAATTTTTTGTTTAAATATTAAAAATTGTCGCAATTTGTTGTAAAAAATTCAAGTTAAGAACATAATAAATTATATATTGATAGTAAAATCATTTTTCAAATTGGACTTTTGAATTGTAACCGATATTCCACATATTCTTATACTGGTAAAATTTTATTTCAATTATGAAATCCGCAGATAATGTGAAGGGATCTTTAATTTTTTTATTCTGTGTATAAGTAAGTTAGTAATTTATTTATTTTAGTGACGTGTGTAAACATATTTTACAAATCTAATTTTACAACGTATTAAATACACCCGGCCCAATGGGCCTATAAGTCACCTCCAATAAACATAAAATATTTACATAAAGTAATAAGTGTCCTCATTGGCTTTAAAGCATATTTGAATGAAATGAAGTGTCTACTGCATAATAGAAACTAGGACATAATATGAATAAAGTCCCAAACAGAACAGTTATTCCATAAGAGCAGATAATGAATAAAAAGTTTTTCTAATATAAGTACTGAGCTTT